CCGAGGAATGTGAACCTCAAACTCTTGGGCTCGATCTTCGTTCTCTTCACGTAGTCAACGTGAGCGTACCCTTGCGATCCGAACAGACGCAAGCGATCCATCTGAGGTTTCGCTTGGAACGTCATCTCGTATGGCGTGACATCTGAGCTCGCCGTGTTCGTAGAACGGTTGATGAGGTACACCGTCGTACTCACCGCTTCCGCCCACCACTCTGTCGACATGAACTTGTAATGTAGCATGCTACGCGCCTTCTCCATAATAGTCCGGTTCATGCGTTTCGCCGCTCCGTTCTGCTGAGGGCTGTATGGAACAGTACGCTGGTGCACGATGCTGTTCCGTTGGCAAATATCAGCGACCGTCTTATAACGACACGCCGTTGCCAGCGCCCACATCGGTTGTCCAGGTGGCTAAGAACGGCGATGAAGCTGGCGTTCCAACAGAAGTAAAACACCTAGCCGTTCCGGAAGAACCGATGGAAGCGATGGAGGAACCTGTCGAAGACGTCGAAATGGACAAGTTGGAACCAAAAAAGAGTGGAGCGCTTTAAGAGGTGTCTCCTCCTGTCGAACCAAGAACGGCAGGATTGGAGCTGACAGCGTACCACTCGCCTTCAGAGGCGCTCCCCAAGGAAAGCCTGGTATTCCACCCTGATACGAAGCGCTCAAGAAGATCGCGGGAGCCTGTGTGCCTACTTGAGAACGGTCCGAACTATGATGAAGAGTACAAATCGAACGGAAGTGACGGCCCGCCAACCCCGAAGGGCCAGGATCGACGAAGACGGCTTGATCGCTGAAGCCGTGTTGGCATATGCTGCCAGTATCGATGGCGCTCCAGATACGCCGAACTCGCTTTAAGAAGCGATGGCTAGTGCTGAAGCGGCGAAAGGGTGTCAGGCAGTAAATGAGGAATTGCAGTCCTGTGCTCGGAACGGAACGTGGACTCTCGTTCCATGTGGAAACGCCTGGACGCCCGATTGGATGTCGCTGGGTGTTCGCCAAGAAGCGTGACAGGAACGGCCAAGTCAACCGGTACAAGGGACGCCTGGTAGCGAAGGGATTCAAGCAGAAGTTTGGAGTAGACGTTTTTATAATGTACTCTTCTTGTAAACATGAATTCGTTTTGTGTGATGCTAGCGTAATGTGCAGCAAACCCGCGCGGAGAGCCCGCGAAGCAGGGCCGCGCGGTATTTGCGGAGGCGGGCCCAGCGCTGAGCTCACCTTAGTTGGCGCCGCGGCTATGGCACCCACGTCGCCCAGCCCCGTGTGTGTTATCCCAGCGATGGACGTGCGTATGAAGTGCAAACTGGAGAAGGTCATCTATGGTCTGCGAGCGCGTGGAACAAGACAAATCATCGCGTGTTCATTCGGAACGGCTTCAAGTGCTGTGGTGCCGACCAATGTGTCTACGTGAATGGTTCCAGGAGCGGCTTCGTGTACGTGTGATTGTACGTGGACGACATGATCATTGCGGCGAAGATGCGAGAGGATATCCGTGAAGTCAAGGACGCGCTGAAGAACGCCTTCAAGATGAAGGAACTTGGCGAGGCCAAATTCATCCTGGGTATGGAGATCAACCACAGCTGAAACGCTTATGCTCAAGCAGTCTCGATACATCGACGACGTTGCGGAACGCTTCAATCAGCAGAACGTTAAGGATGTGGAGAATCCGTGCGAATCCAACGTGAAGCTTTCGAACATATGTCGCCAGCGACGGAAGTGGAGCGCCTCGAGAAGCAGTCGAAGCCGAACCACTCCTTGGTCGAGTGTCTGATGTACATCACAACATCTACTCGACCAGATATTGGGTACGTGGTGACACAGCTGTCCTGTTTCCCGAGGACCCAGGGCGACAACACTGGAAGGCGGCAATTCGAGCTCTTCGCTACTTGAAGACTACGCGTAAGCACGGTATTGTATACCAAGGCCGTTCCGAGCACGCCTTGGCTCAAGCGTACACCGACGTGAACTGGGGCTCCAACATCGACGACAGGCGTTCCGTATCCGGTGTCATGGCTATGATCGAATACGCTCCTGTGGTGTTCATGTCGAAGTTTAGAGGACGGCTTCTCACAGCTCGGCGGAAGCAGAGTACATGATATTGAGCCTGTGTACTCAAGAGGTGCTGTGGACACGTACGATGCTCAAGGACATGAGCAAGTGGGAGTGACACAGATATGGGAGGACAACCAAATTGCTATTGCACTGAGCGCCGGATACCAAGCAAGGACCAAACACATCGAGGCACCACTTCACTCGTGTGAGCGTGGAACGAGGAACCGTCAAGGTGGACTATGTCGACACGAAGATCCAACTGGCCGACATGCTGACGAAGGTACTTGGGACGAAGCCCTGGCGTCCCAGCGCGATGCGACCAGCATTAAGAGCAAGGCTACCGTGCGGTAGCGGTGAATGGGAGTGTTTCAGTTGCACCGGCTCAGCCCGGCTTGGCGTGACCGTTGGAGAGGCTACCGAGCCGTTCCACAATTGGCTGGAACTGCTTCTGGAACGCCATTGGGTAATCACATGCTGGAGCGCTGTGATTGGATGAAGGCACATGACATTTCTGATTACGCCACACTAATGAGAAGACAGCAAGAGGAACAACAGAGACTCTCTGTGAGAGATAGTGTTTAGACAGACGTGCTGGACAGTTTTGGTTTGCACTAATTTACTTGGGTAGTTGCCTCTTTCTCACGCCCCAAACCAATAACAATACATGAGCTGAAATGTTTTTTAAATGGAGATGATATGCAACACGCCACTACATGTAATCGAGCTGCTTCATTTGTATGGGACCCGGATCCGGGAGTATTATCTATGACAGTGTCGAATTCTGAGACACTGGACTAGCGTGGTACTAAAATAATTGCGTGCCAAACTACAACTTCCAAGAATTAATGGGTAGTGAGATACTCACCAGAAATTTGATGGACCTTCTTTACATTTTACCTTGAATTTGCAAGAGAGGGGATGGCCCGAATTATGTCCTGGCCCGAAAAATGTCCACTTATTAATATCCAGTAAAAGGATGATGGATGACGCGGTCATTTTCTGGTTGCTGTTCCATTAATACTCGCTTTAGAGGTAACTAAAATGGTCTTAGTACATGTACCTACGATGAATTCGAAAATTGTGTCCTTCAAAAAAGTGCTTCATGATCTGATGTCAGATTCACGCGCTTAAAGAGCCGTAGTTGTTTGCACCGTATCGGATTATGGTATCAGCATACCTGCGGCTGCTAAGAGGGCCGCAGGAGATGCTTTTTTCCAAATAGCACAATAATTTTAAACTACTTCTTGTATTTTGTTTTTGAAAGCTTGCATTGGTAACACAATACACTTCACCATTTCGAAAATTAAAGAAAGCTTGCAGAAGACCGTAGTGCAAAATATCTTGAAGCTTCATCCCACCAAGCTATTCGAGAAGTTAAGCAGCTCTTGGATTCGCCGAATTTAAAAGTGTGTTCAACGGAAAGGGATCCTGCATTTAAACATTTTTTTTGGCTACATACTTGGCGTACCTTTCCGCCACCATCATCATCCAAGTTTTATCTGCCAAGTGTTCGTGAGGGACCTTGAATACTTTGGTAAGAGCGCGGTATGGGGTATATCCCTTCTTGGCCCAACTCTTAAACACCAAACCCGAGAAATGGTTTTGTTCGCCTGAATTGTGTGCGAGTTTCGAGACCAAAACCGATTTCTGGTTGTTTAGCCAAAGGTTCAACTGCTCAGTCTGCAGCTTCGTAGCGACTGTCGTAGTCGCTTTGGCCTCTTTCCAAATCACGAGCTTCGCAGCTACAGCTTCATCGCCGAATTGTTTCGTGAGATCCTTGATCAATGTCTCGTATTTGTTTTCAGTAAACGATGTGATCTTGCTCAGACTCATTCTCACGTCGTCATCCTCGCTCGAACTCGTCGGGGTCCTTTGCGAAACCACAGTCGAAAAGACAGATCCGCAAGCAAGCAGAACAGCTACAGCTACTAGGCAAATGTAGCGGCACATTGCAAAGCAAGTCTTGGAAAGTATTGCTTGAAAATTGGAAACTGAAAAATATATACCCGGACCAACAGATTCCAGAGTATTTTCTGTACCGGGCGAAAACGTTTACAGGCGGGTCATCCAATCTGGGCGAAAACGTTTACGGACGGGCGCCATATTGGTGTTTTCAATTCTTAAAACGTATTTTAAAAGCATCCGCTTAGAACGTTTATTAGAAATTTTAATTTTTTTAATTGAAGTAAGCTATAAATTCGTACAGGGTATGTTCAAGGAGCTTTGGGCAATACCCCTCCATTACTAGAGAATTGGGCTGGTAGTACTTTTGAATTTACAGTATTGAAATCTTTAAACGACTTTATCTCTGTTTTAACAATAATTTGCATATAGAGTGACTGTATTTTGTTTCGTACACCAAGTTTCAATCAGTTTGTACCCATGCAGAACCTTTACTGCGGAGTGAAAGCTGATATTTGTATTCAATGGATATTAATACCTACTCGAATTACCAGGTAATCCCTACAGCCTGTAAAGTACGTAATAATAATACATTATGCTGCACAGCTACCTGGAAAAACTGCTACTTCCATGTAATACTATTATTACTTAATAAAAATTATACTACGTAGTTTACTACTGAAGAAGTATTAGCGGAAGAACCAGCAAGTACAGTACTGCACCACGTTTTCGCGGGGGTAGACCATATAGGATATTCAAATAAATTAGATTTTAGCTTACAAACAGTAGTTCATTTGGATTCAGGAGCATTACATCCGGAAGTTTATCAAAGGTCCAAGGGCGCGAAAACGGGGTGCAGTACTGTAGTTGCTTACAACTGCAAACAATTTGCTCTCTTACTTGCCTGCACTCATATTAATACTTGCATCCCGCATATATAGAAGACCTCATTCCGAAAGGGAGAATTACTTACGAACGCAAATGCTAATGACATGGAGTACTTTTAGCTGCGAGAGCAGCATAATTTCTCTACGTCGTCTTTCTGAGCTAAAAGTCTTCTGCCTTGCAAAATTCCTCCTTGCGGTTTTCGTAGTAAGAGCAGTGGTCCTCGTAGTAGTCGACATAACCTGTGTAGACCGAGCGCTTAATGGGATTGATCGTGTCCGCCGTCAATTCCAGGTCCCGACGAACATCGAGAGGAGTCATGTGATGCTGGAACCACCAGTAGTATCGGGGCTGGTTGGACGTCTGGATGAGCGAGAACCGCTCCTCCTGGCTGTCTTCAGAGTCTTCCGATTCGTCGGCGTGCTTGGAGTCAGCGGTGGGTTTCACGTTCTTGGAGTCTTCGCTGTCGTCCTCAGCATCTTTGTAGGCTCGCAGCAAGCGCTTCTTGTTGTCCTTGGCGACAGTGTCAATCAACTGGCGGCCTGAAAGCACTTGGTCGTTGGAAATCTTAGCAGCTTTCTCCGAGTCCGAAGCAGTTGCACAGGCCAGCAGGCCAGTACAAGTCACAGCAAGAATGAATGAAAGACGCATGTTTCCAAGGAGCGCAGATTTCCAAATGGCTGGCCAGATTCATCTTTCAAGTCTGTTTGCAGCAAACTTTGCTGAGCCAGTTCTCTTCCAATCCAAGCTGTGGCTCCCCAAATAGAATCAGGATTCTAATCCTTGTCAAGATTCCTTCAAGGAATCCTTGAGCTGCTTTAAAATGGGTACCAAACCCGCTCTCTTTCTGTTTTTATTTACATGTACTTAATCCTTGTCAAGATTCCTTGAGCTGCTTTAAAATGGGTACCAAACCCGCTCTCTTTCTGTTTACATTTACGGTACAAGTATTAATACAGTACTGTACATTGTTTTACAAATAATACACTTACAGTAACAATGTACAAGTACACCGTAACTTACGGCTTACGGTCCGTAAGTCACAGCCTCTGGGATAGGGCAATACTGTTCACCGTGAATTTCACCGTGACGGCGTGAAGTTCACGCCGTCTTCGCGAAAAGGAAACACGGATTCCGGACGGAACAACTGTAGTAGAACTCCGGCGTGGGCACCGACTATCCGCCTAGATACCCCAGTGCAAATCAATTAAACCCATGCACATATGTGAAGTACCGGTACCGTGTACCTGAGCAGCTAATATCTGAGGATGATCATACTAAGAAACTGAAATAAACAATTTACATATGGTATGTTTGGTACGGAGTCTCTTCCGCCCGACTGGACTCCTTCCAAAAATGGAGAAATCACCCGACATAACTGCAGCATGTATGTCGGGGCTTAACGACCTCTATGCCAACATATCGATTTCTTGGCTCACCAAAAATAGAGTAAGAGAGGTTGCTCTGGTCGATGTAGAGTGTCCCCTACGTGCGATTGCACTTGAGTTAGTTATTCATTTTACGTTTTGGGGCTTTTATAACAGAACAAAAACTCAACAAATCTTTTTGGATTCCGCTTGAGGTTCGCCACTTTCCCTTTGGAAGCCATCGTGGGCAAGATGCGCGAGGAAGACGAAGACAGTGACGTTCTACTGGTATTGTGTGATGAGTACTTGAGTCGCGAGGCAAACCTGGGCAGTGTCCGCCGTGAAATACACCAGGCCATGATGGAGAGCACATGGCGAGCTGTAATGCGCACTCGTCATTACTTGACGGTGGGCTGTTTGGATGCGCCCTGTGTTGCCGCGTGGATGGCTCTCTACAGGAACGGCGTGGACTCAAACTTTCTGAATGCTACTAGTCTGACCAGGTACGTTACGGATGTCCGGTGTGTTATTGGGGGGGGGTCTAATTATATACCGTCACGTACTACACAGAGCTGCATTCAAGCACTTACTGCGCCGGTTTGCGCGCTACTACTACATCCCTCCAGCCAGAAGCAGAGGACGGCCGCCAAAATTGTGCTACCATCATCAGGCTCTAGGTCTCGTTCTCTGCTTCTACGTCGGGTCGATGGAAAACGGAACGCTGAGCATGTTGTTTGGGGTGCCTCCGAGCACTTTATCTCGGACGCTGCGCAAAGCCGAAAAGGCGCTGTCGTGTGCACTTCGGGATTTCTCCCCAGCGCGGATTTCATGGCCGTCACCTTCTCGCCAGAGAGAGCTTGCCAGCTTGGTGAACGCACGCGAGCCGTTGCTGGAGCATACGTTCGGGTTTATCGATGGAAAGAACTTCCGTGTAAGTACGACGTTGGATGCCTTGTAATATCTCTTGACTTGTGACGTGATGCTGTTACTATTTACGTTTGCAGGTGCAGCAGCCTTCTAACTCCGACCTTCAAAACGCAATGTACAATGGATGGCTACACTCGGTTCTAGTCACGGGTACTATTTGTTTTGCCGCAGACGGCTGCATTATCTGGGCCAAGCATAATTGCCGTGGATCCTGGAACGATTCAGATACGTCTCTCGGTTTCCGCATGAAACTTCTGGATCCTGTGTATTGCCCTGACGAACGCATGAACGTTGTGTCAGACTCCGCCTTCCCGTGCTCCACGGCAATGACAGGCAGGATCCTGAATCCGCTGAAAGACGGAGATCTCGAGAGAATTGAACCGTCGCTTCGGAGTTCAGCGCGGACGCTGCACAACGCCATCACTTCGGTGAGGCAGGCTGCAGAGTGGGGAATGGGCAGCGTGCAGAAGGTCTATAGTCGCCTTAATGTGCCGCTACCCTACGATCCGAATCTCCGTGGTCTAAGGCTCAACAACATATTCCGTATGGCGAATTACCGCGTGCGGGCGGTGGGTATCTCGGAGATACGAACAACGTTTATGGGAGCGATGGAGATGACGTTGTAGCTCCAGCTGGGTGGTGGGGATTGGGAGAACTTGGATATGTTCATTTGCATGACTAGCTTTTACCAAAGAACGAATACAAGTGCGGTTATCGGACATTTTCAGCCGTGTCGGTGGTTGCTTGGCTCGCTACGGAGGGCTGGTTTCAAAATGCAACGCTACAAAATACACTTCCTCCCTCTCGGTCCGTTCCCGACGGGTGCTTTCGGCTCTGCGACTCTGATCTCTTCACTCCTTCTTCACTAGAGCACTGATGAAGAGCATCAGTTCCTGGGAGTGCGCACGGGCCTCCTCTTTATCGCGGCGAGCTCGTTCCTCCGTCTCCAGCTTCTCTTGCCGACGGCGTTCTTCGGCCTCCAGCTTCTCGGCGCGGTAACGCGCCTCGCGCGCCATGACTTCATCGCGGCGACGCTGCTCTTCTTCCGCCCGGCGAGCTCCACCCCTACGTTCGCTATCCTCACGCATGAGGACCATCAGCTCGACAATATTTGTACCCATGGCCCCGGACGAGCTTTCTAGGTCACCCAAGCGCTTCTTCAGCTGTGTGGCCGCCTTGATAGCCTTCGCCCGCTTCACCTTGGCGTAACTCGCCTCGTGAAGGTCTTGTTCGTTGTCGGCATCTCGCTTGCGGCCAATGGTTCCACCAAACTCGGCAAGATTGCCCCCTCCAAGGCGGTTGGAGTAGCTAAGATAGCGCGTCGATTCCGCAGCACGGCGCGAACGATAGGCTGAGCTCTGCTCTTCGAGGACCGCAGTTGAGGTTGTGTTTTGCGATTGACTGGGCTTCGGTAGACCAGCAGAGCGAAGCTGGCGTTGAGTGGATCGGTCGGGCCCAGATGATGACCTCGGAGTGCTGGCGAATGCCTCCAACCCGTCATGAACAGCGGCAGACTCGAGGATCTCGGCGAAGCTACTGGCTGCGTCCGTGATGTTGATACCCGGTTCGTTCGGCAAACTGGGCAAACTGCTGGATCCCTCACGGTGAGGAGTATCGGTGTTGGAGAGGCTTCCACGGGCAGAGTCAGTCGTGTTGCTCACTGAGCTGGAGTCGTTGCCGATCCCGTCGTCTCCATCAAAGTTAAAGGAGAAATCTAAGTGCTGCTCACCCTCTTCCTCCTGTTGGTCATCTACGTCGGCTCCGTCGTCCATCTCCTCAACACTCGCCTTATCGTCGATACTTTGCTTGAGCTGTTTAGCTTTCTTCACATGGGGAGGCATGTCAGCGACTCCCGTGGGCTTACGGATACTGTACAGCATCTTGAACTTGCGCCGAAGACTCTCGTAGTCGCGCTCTCCAATGCCCCGACCGCGGTTCGAGTTGTACATGCTGGCAAGACGCTCCCATTCGTCCTTACCAAGCGGCAAGAACTTAGCAACAAGACTCAGCAGGCGTTGCACCTCCGTGAACTTGTAGTTGGTGGATCCAGTTAGTTTAGCCATCTATCATGAATTAAACAGCAATTGATGAGACGTCAGTACGAAGTAGAGGAAGCAATGAAGAGTTTGGCAGCGTACCGGGACGAAGTGAGCGCAAGAGGTGATCGAAGACAAACACTTGGTCGGGAACGGGGCTTGGACTTGCTCGGATGGGAGTAAAACCAAAAATGAGACTTTGGGGACGTCGTTTGCTGTGGCTAGAGGCCGCACTGTGGCAGCGCGCCCTAGGACGCGTGAGTAGCTAGCTATCACAAGGGTTCGCGCCGAAACGAGCGCGCGCTAACAAAGATCGACGAGTTCACGAACCATACAGTATGGAGTCGCGTTTTGGCGCGAAACCCGTGCTTGCACAGCTTCAACGTTGACGCTAAGCTTCGATATGTGAGGGAACCAGCTTTACTTCAACGTCCAAGTAGCATATCAAAGATGAGCATTTGTCTTTACAGTAGGTTTGTATGCACGGGCTACCTACACTCATCACGTCTCCTGACTGCACGTCGGCTACGGATCGCTCTGGTCCTGGATCTCACGATGACGACAGGAGGCGAGACCACAGCGGCACACAAACCAAAGATCACCGCCATAGTCAACGGTGATCTCCTCTCCTTCACGTACGATCTCTGTAGTGGCGACAATAACCGTGGCGCGGCGTCCGTTCGCGACCTCGACGAACTGAGCGACCGGTGAACACGAGTGGTTCACAAAACGCATCAACCCACCCATTTCAGCTGCGTTGATGGCGACACGAATCGGGTGGCTTGGCCTCTTCGGTCGTTGGGTCATCACCAACCGGAATCCTTCGTTCCGTGGGCGACGTGCTTGATCCATGCTGACGTGCTCGAACTCGCCTAAGTACTGACCCAACACCTCGCCTGCATCAATGTCCTCAGCAGCGACTACAGATAACTGGAGCGTACGCGTGTTTCTCGCCAAGTACACCTTGGTTGATTCCTCCAGACTGTTCCCGCACTTGGCGTCGTATGGACAGCAGCTTGGGGTACAGTACAGCTGCACCAGCGAGTTCCTGCACGCCCCGACACGGCATGGCTCCGGACAGTCACACCAGCCGTAATGGGGCACTCTTGGGAATACCAACCCGGTCGGGTTGTACTGAGTACGGAGGTGAACAGCACGTACCGGCCAGTCCGCTGGTACGAAGCGGTCCCGAGAGCGCTTTTCACGCGCACATGGTGGTGGTTGTGACGACTTAGGACTGGTCCTCATCAGCCCTCGAGGGTTCAGCGACGGAGAGGCAGCTTCACGACGGTGATCCTGACGTCGGTGATAGGGTTGAGCAGCTTCTCGACGCTCTCTCCGGGAACTACGACGATCACGCAGGGGGATCCGTGGCAGAGAGCGAGGAAGCGATGCTGGCGGTGTCTCCAGTAGCACTGGAGATGACGTCGTCGGACTGTGCGGCGGCCGCGAGTATGGCGGTGACGCTAGGGCCACCACTTCATCCGCACGCGGTGGAGTCACTTCAGGCTTCGGTTTTCGCGGCGGTGATAGCGTCCCTGTAGAGCTGTAGCCATACTGCTCGCTAATAGTGCTCGATTGCGACAGGTTTGGAGGAGCGTTTTCATCCTCGGTCGACGAGTCGGCGATGCGCCGCTCGCTCCAGTATGAAGCCGAGTGAACCATGCTCTGAAAGTACAAAGATCGTCAGCAAAGACCCAATGTAAGGCTTAGTGAACGTACCTTCTCAACAGCAGAGGCGCTTTGCTCCCAGCGGCCGATTTTCCAAAGTGAATGCTTCTTCAACTTGGCGCAAAAAATGAGATATGCCAGATACATGCAGTAGGAGTGATTGTGGATTGGGTCAGAGCGATGGTCAGCATTTTCAATACAAAATCAAAGATCTAGCCTTAAGATGGCTATAGAGATTAAACCTAGGGGTAGGGAAGGTTATGGAGACGACTTTTACGCCTCCGCCGGATTACTCGACGATATGCACTTGACATACCTGCTGCAGTTATGTCGGGTGATTTCTCCATTTTTGGAAGGCGTCCACTGCATACATGCTCAAATACTCACTAAAGTCGTAATAAAACGACTCATTTCCAATTTCACCCTACCGAAGACGTCGCCACCATGGCACCGTCACGAACGAGACCCCAACTTACACAGGAAGACGAAGATCGTGAAGCTCGAGCCCACTGGGACAGCCTATTTGTAGCGGCAGACGCACGAGAGCGCGCGATATCCCGCGTTCAAATAATTCCCACTATCGTCGACAGTGACGACGAGTCGTTCACACCAGCCCCCTAAGTACGAGCACGCTCTCACCACCCAAGGTCCCGAACGCGTCCTCAAAATGTGCAATTTCTCGCTGCGCGAGTTTGATCAACTCTGGGATGTTGTCGAGGACCATGGCCTGTCAAAATGGAATGTAGGCCGTGGAAAGAAGAACCCGAACTCCCCCAAGGACGTTCTCTTCCTGACACTAGCTGCCCTTAAACAATGTGGAAGCTGGGACACTGTGCTCGGCTTGAAATCACACCTCGGCGGATAAGACGACGCCGAAGCGTTGGTAGTCAACGGGCGAGCAATAATGGGAGCCAAGCTGCTAGTCCATGCAGCACAGAGTATGGATCGAGCTAAATTTTGGCTTTCGCTATGTTGCATAGCTCACTACTTAGTACTCTACCGTTGGAAGCCTGAATGCTCTGTAGACATGCAGAATTCCAAATTCATATAGTAAATTCACAAATCAACGTCTAAATTTTTCATTGAGCTGGTATGAATCATCTGGTTGCCACAATTCTACGTCATATAAGTAAAGTCAGCAGTGCTTTGTATCTCGTCGCGTACTTCGTAATTGATTTTGGGTTCTAGTGGGGAAAATAAAGATGCTTTACAGTTCTCGTCAGCATTTTCAAATCTCCACATGTCAGATCCAAACCATGATTTTCCTGCCGCGTGTACAGCGCTGTATTTGAGTACTGTACTGAACATGCATTGATGTACTGTACTATAATACATGGTACATCATCGCTGTCTCACTCTCGTAGCTCTTATATGGGATGGTTGGGCGGATGTTGCGGACGACGAGCGGACAAGACGAACATTCTCAATGCTCATTCTGGGACAAGACGACAAAGAAACTTGAGCGTTGGGACGGGGACTCATACTCGTCACCTGCAGTAGCTGTCGCTGCGACAGACGCAGTCACACCGGCGTCAATGACTCCTCTGCTCTCCAGCGTCGATCGCATCAACGCTGCTCTGGAAGCTGCAGTGGCACATCCTCCACCGTCGACCGGTACAGTGCGTGTGTGCCACGCAACGGAAGACGAGTGGAACGCGTTTGCAGACAGCGAGGATCCAATCGTTCGACTCAAGTATCTTGAATGGTTTCCTGACACGGAAGAGATTCACATCATCGAGTCAGAGCGGCATGTCAAGCGATGGCTCAAAGGCCACTTGGCCGCCAGGTATTCTCAAGGGCGACGATGGTGTTCAGATCTCAGTTATGGACCACGCCAAGCAACACCCGGCTCGGTGCTTTCTCGAAACGTTCCAATTTTTGCGGACTTTCGGACGATTAAGGTTGAGATTGGAGTTTCTCAGCAGTGGGGTATGGCGCCTGGAGAGCTCGACCACAAGGCGATTGCGATATGGGCCGCGATGCCAGGAGTCGAATATGTGCTATGTGTGTCGTTCGATCCCAACTTTGCGAATGCCGAATACAAGTTGTATGATGCTCGCGTCCATCCACTCGTGCAGCTGGCTCCACTTCCAATCGTCGCTCCAAGAACGGTGATCCAGCTGGACGGACGTCGAATCCTTGGTATTCCGCCACGGATGGCGCTCCCGGTAGGGTTTCCTGCAACTCTGTCGGTGGATTTGTACTCTCCGTTGGTCTGGGCAATGCGTTAATCAGACGTCCAGCCATCTCTTGCGCAGCAACTACCGAGTGATCTGATTTTAATATTTATTTAAAAAATAATAATCGTGATGCGTAAAAGCCGGTTTTATACCGGTATGGACCGAATTCTTTTGTGACATTGCACAGTGACTCTAAGAGAGAATACTGCGTAAGTATTTTGTTTTAATACTCACAGATTTTTATAGAAAACATACCACGAGAAGGGCTGTAAAACGGTGAGCTACTAAAAAAGAAGAAGATCAAAATACAAAGGTCCTGTAGATTTCGCTCAGTTTTTTTCAGTAATATGGCTCGGTTTGAGTACAAGACCGAAAAGTTATTGTCATTTTATCACTATCCGGAGGAATTACTTTCCGGATTACGAAATGCCACGGCTGCAAAGATGCACAGCATGAGCGTGAGCCAAGCCCTTATACTGTAATATAATACAATATAACATAGTATAGTATAATATAAGGGAGCGTGGGTGTCTGGAGTTTGTACATCGCACCCCTACAAACTGAAACACATTTAAAACTATATTATATCCTTTTTATTTAAATTTAAAATTAATTAATGAATATTTAAAAAAAAAATAAAAATTTAAACCATTTAAATGGTTTAAGTATAAATAATAAAAGCATTAAGTGGATGCCTTGGCATTAATTTAATTTTTAGGACGTAAAAAATGCAGAAAGCTATATTAAATATTATTATATTTTGAAATATAGAATACAAAATTTCCAAAATGACTGTTCTGAGGTGCTTAAGTTTCCCTATTCAGCAGCATGTCCGAAATAGGCATGTTGCTTGAACCCTCCTTCCTGCTTAAGCGCGACAACATAGCAACTAGCTCGTCGGCTACAGGGTCTTCCTATTCTGGCTCACTGTATTCACGAGCAGAGTAATCGAGTATTCCAGTGTGTCTCCAGCACTTACCAAATATTTAGGATTCCAGCAGTCGATGTTCCATTCCACGAACGCCAATTTTGTAAGCCTTGGTCCCTTTCGACATGTCCATCACTAGGCCGGCTTCATGCTGGTCAAGAGCGTGCTGGATCTGGCGACGCCGGTAGCGCTGCTTGAATGCAGCAATTATTCCAGCGTCAAGAGGGTGACACCTACTGGAAGTATTTGAAAAGCATTTGGGTAGCATGATGCTGGCAAAATTGCAAGCGCTGGGCATTGGTGAGCATGGTGCGGGTTGACTAAGCTTCGACTAGCGTAAAATAGAAGAATGAGGGAGACCTCACAAGCGCAAGGAATGAAATGGATGGCGGCACTTTTGCAATCTTACTCTCTTTTGCGCTCGCTCTTTCGCTTGTTTCCCCTCCAGGACGTGCTGCTTGTCCACACCATGCCACTTCTCCCCGCCGCCGGTTCGCCTCGTTGCTGTCATCCAATGGTCATATGTCTCGTGGAATTTGATTTGTCGAGCCAGGCTAACCTGTGTGGGACCGGCTGAGCCGGACACAATTCGCGTCGTTGTCGCTTGTCTGATCGCGCCCGGACCGGTTCGTCACGCGTTCACAGCTCATCTAAGCGCAGTGGGCCTACGCAATTAAGAGGAAATGGCGTTTCTGCTGCGGGAGTGCGGAATGACGATGGTGCACTCTGGCGTCTCGCTTGGGCCGAAATGACCCTGGACATGCGCGTGAAATGTCTCGTTGGGTAGACAGAAAGGAAGCCGAAGCTTGTGTTGGTCAGTGGTGGCTGTCGGATGCGCTGTCGATTGGAAGTCTAAGTTTTGGAGCAGGTGGGTAGGTTTGATTGTTGACGCCTCGATAGCTCAGTTGGGAGAGCGTCAGACTGAAGATCTGAAGGTCCCTGGTTCGATCCCGGGTCGCGGCACTTTTGCAATCTTACTCTCTTTTGCGCTCGCTCTTTCGCTTGTTTCCCCTCCAGGACGTGCTGCTTGTCCACAGCATGCCACTTCTCCCCGCCGCCGGTTCGCCTCGTTGCTGTCATCCAATGGTCATATGTCTCGTGGAATTTGATTTGTCGAGCCAGGCTAACCTGTGTGGGACCGGCTGAGCCGGACACAATTCGCGTCGTTGTCGCTTGTCTGATCGCGCCCGGACCGGTTCGTCATGCGTTCACCGCTCATCTAAACGCAGTGGGCCGACGCAATCAAGAGGAAATGGCGTTTCTGTTGCGGGGGTGCGGAATGACGATGGTGCACTCTGGCGTCTCGCTTGGGCCGAAATGACCCTGGACATGCGCGTGAAATGTCTCGTTGGGTAGACGGAAAGGAAGCCGAAGCTTGTGTTGGACAGTGGTGGCTGTCGGATGCGTTGTCGATTGGAAGTCTAAGTTTTGGAGCAGTTGGGTAGGTTTGATTGTTAACGCCTCGATAGCTCAGTTGGGAGAGCGTCAGACTGAAGATCTGAAGGTCCCTGGTTCGATCCCGGGTCGCGGCACTTTTGCAATCTTACTCTCTTTTGCGCTCGCTCTTTCGCTTGTTTCCCCTCCAGGACGTGCTGCTTGTCCACAGCATGCCACTTCTCCCCGCCGCCGGTTCGCCTCGTTGCTGTCATCCAATGGTCATATGTCTCGTGGAACTTGATTTGTCGAGCCAGGCTAACCTGTGTGGGACCGGCTGAGCCGGACACAATTCGCGTCGCTGTCGCTTGTCTGATCGCGCCCGGACCGGTTCGTCATGCGTTCACCGCTCATCTAAACGCAGTGGGCCGACGCAATCAAGAGGAAATGGCGTTTCTGTTGCGGGAGTGCGGAATGACGATGGTGCACTCTGGCGTCTCGCTTGGGCCGAAATGACCCTGGACATGCGCGTGAAATGTCTCGTTGGGTAGACGGAAAGGAAGCCGAAGCTTGAGTTGGACAGTGGTGGCTGTGGGATGCGTTGTCGATTGGAAGTCTAAGTTTTGGAGCAGGTGGGTAGGTTTGATTGTTGACGCCTCGATAGCTCAGTTGGGAGAGCGTCAGACTGAAGATCTGAAGGTCCCTGGTTCGATCCCGGGTCGCGGCACTTTTGCAATCTTACTCTCTTTTGCGCTCGCTCTTTCGCTTGTTTCCCCTCCAGGACGTGCTGCTTGTCCACAGCATGCCACTTCTCCCCGCCGCCGGTTCGCCTCGCTGCTGTCATCCAATGGTCATATGTCTCGTGGAATTTGATTTGTCGAGCCAGGCTAACCTGTGTGGGACCGGCTGAGCCGGACACAATTCGGTTCGTCGTCGCTTGTCTGATCGCGCCCGGACCGGTTCGTCATGCGTTCACCGCTCATCTAAACGCAGTGGGCCGACGCAATCAAGAGAAAATGGCGTTTCTGTTGCGGGAATTGCGGAATGACGAATGTGCCACTCTGGCGTCTCGCTTGGGCCGAAATGACCCTGGACATGCGCGTGAAATGTCTCGTTGGGTAGACAGAAAGGAAAGCCGAAGCTTGTGTTGGGTCAGTGGTGGCTGTCGGATGCGCAGACGATAGGAAGACCAAGGACCGGAGCCCTTTTTTAGGGTCGACCGACGACGCCGCGACAGCTCAGGGGGGAGAGCGTCAGACTGAAGATCTGAAGGGCCCTGTTTCGATCCCGGGTCGCGGCACTTTTGCAATCTTACTCTCTTTTGCGCTCGCTCTTTCGCTTGTTTCCCCTCCAGGACGTGCTGCTTGTCCACACCATGCCACTTCTCCCCGCCGCCGGTTCGCCTCGTTGCTGTCATCCAATGGTCATATGTCTCGTGGAACTTGATTTGTCGATCCAGGCTAACCTGTGTGGGACCGGCTGAGCCGGACACAATTCGCGTCGTTGTCGCTTGTCTGATCGCGCCCGGACCGGTTCGTCATGCGTTCACCGCTCATCTAAACGCAGTGGGCCGACGCAATCAAGAGAAAATGGCGTTTCTGTTGCGGGAGTGCGGAATGACGATGGTGCACTCTGGCGTCTCGCTTGGGCCGAAATGACCCTGGACATGCGCGTGAAATGTCTCGTTGGGTAGACAGAAAGGAAGCCGAAGCTTGTGTTGGTCAGTGGTGGCTGTCGGATGCGTTGTCGATTGGAAGTCTAAGGTTTGGAGCAGTTGGGTAGGTTTGATTGTTGACGCCTCGATAGCTCAGTTGGGAGAGCGTCAGACTGAAGATCTGAAGGTCCCTGGTTCGATCCCGGGTCGTAGCGTGCTCGTTCGGTAGGCTTCTGTAAATGTACCATTTTGAAGGTACACCTGACTACAACAGAAATAGGATAGGAATGAATTGTTGGTTCCTGGTGCTATGACTACGGAAGGGTTCTTCTGTAATTGCTTTAATTTCATTGCTGTCGACCACAGTAAAAAATAGTTAAATCTCAGCTCGTATTAAAGAAACTTGAATTTTTAACAACACCGCTCCTTAGATTCGCCCTAAAACACCGTAATGACGTACGTTTTCTCCGTGACTCCTGCTGGTCTGAAAATCATCCCACTGTAGCCTACACAATGTGTAGTACACACGACGCAGCTACACTGTACTGTAAGTGCGTCATCACCGCTTTTAATTATTAATAATAGCGCTCTTACATGTGATTGTGGTGCGATCGATTCAAAGTGCCCCACAGCTACATATATTAATACAGTATATGAATCACAGCTACCTTCTACATGTACCGGTACTTGTACAGTACAGTAATCAGGGGCTATAATGGTATAAACTAAATATCATATGATATTTTTGTTTTACTGTCAGTAATACTCAGGTATAATACTACATGTACATGTACCAGTAGGGAATTGTATTGATGTAATTTACATCAATACAATTTCCTTAATATTGGTAAAGATGGGACGAATAGAGCGGGTTGGAGCCCATCTCAAGGAATCCTGACAGGGTTTCTGCTTGGGAGTCACTGCTTGGATTGGAATCGTCATAAGTCAGTGAAATCTACCGACAGGACTACCTAAATCACTGTATTATTTTGATTCTATGATACTTAAGTGTTATTACCATTAAAGCTCACTCCAATTTACGATGACCTCTCAGATACGTCGCTCAATTCAGCTCCTATAACTCCTGTTACCTGGTCATACGTGAAAGAACTGACCCACTTAAGTTGTTACCTATTGGAAACCCTTACGAATTATAATAGTACCCTATGGCACTCCATGAAGGTTAGCCTATCATTACTGAACTTTATCCCGATTACCACCCATTACAATGCAGTATTTAAGCTCTTTTACCACTATATGAAAACGAGTGCACCAATAAAATCAAATTTGGAGCTACGCCTCTTAAAAATACAACGTTATTGGGTTATAGTCTAATTATAATACTTCAAAACGTATGGGCAAATGCCTCATCTCCGATGTATTAATTGCGCCAAGATGCGGAGCAGATTAAGATCAGACGCAAATTTTAGTCTCAAACATATGGTTTTTGATGACCAAGTAGAGGTATTTAATAATACCCAGATAGGGAAAGAGTACGTACTTCGGTCGCAATCAATATAGCCGACATGAAGCCCAATATGTAACAGTCGTCAGCAACATGAATGCGTTTGATCAACTGCCTTTGGCTTACGTCAAATATAAAGCCAAACGACACACATAGTCGATTGCTCATAACACCAGATAATTTGAGCTTTGTAGTAATGTGTGCATCATTACTTTATACGGTATTGTCTTACCTCTTCGCTTGAAACCGGTACTGACTTATTTTGATTTATTTAAAAAAAAAGGCACTTATTCCAATCCTTTTGACATACGGTATCTTGTTGTCCACTGAAATATCGTAATTGCGCATGGAAGAAAACCGGCTCAGTCGGCCAGCAAAGTTTGCTGAAAACAGCCGTGATAAACTTCAAAGATGAAACTGGCCATTCATTTGGAGATCTGCGCTCCTGTTATCACTTAAGGATTGCTCTCGTGTGTGCAAATATGCGTCTTTCATTCATTCTGGCTGCGACTTTGACGGGCCTGTTGGCCTGTGCAACTGCTTCCGACTCGGAGAAAATCATCAGGATTTCCAATGAGCAAGTACTCTCGGACCGCCAGTTACTTGACACTGTCGTCAACGACAACGAGAAGCGCTTTCTGAGAGCTTACAATGATGCTGAGGACGATAGTGAAGACCCCAAGAATGTGAAGAACACCGTTGACGCCAAGCCCGCTGACGAATCGGAAGACTCTGAACTCAGCGAGGAGGAGCGATTCTCGCTCATCCAGATGTCCAACCAGCCCCGATACTACTGGTGGTTCCAGCACGAAATGACCCCTCGCGATGTTCGCAGGGCGTTGGGTTTGAGGGCGGGCTCGATCAAGCTGGTTAAGCGCTCGATCTACAGAGGTTACGTCAAGTACTACAACAAGCATTGCAGCTACTACGAGAACCGCAAGAAGGATTTTTGCAAGGCTAAGGAGTATTAGCTCAGGAAGACAGAGCAAATATCGATGTTTTCGCAACCATGAGTCCTTAATAAGCCTACTTGTATAATTTTACTTTTCGGGATGAGGCCTTCTAAGCCGGCAGCGATTCAAGGGGTTTTGTAGAATCACTCAAAGTTTCACAATATTGTGGATCTCATGCAGCTTTACAAAGTGGCATGTACTATTAATAGTAGTAATAAAAAATCTCATATTACTACAGTAGTACTTCATCCGCTTGGAAAATAAATCACCTTTCCTAAAATATTTCGCAGCGCTCCGCCTCGTTCTTTTTCATGATTATAAAGTTTGCGGAAGGCTCGTGCATGCCCCGTGGGTACTGTGCTACCAACTTATTAATAGCTGTGCCAAGCAAGACTGCATTCAAGGAGCTTTGACCTTTGAAACGATAATAGACCCGGGCTTTTATGTTCAAATGGCTCAACTGCGGTGTGCTTGTTCCACCACATCAGTGTAGCTGCAGGCGCTCTTGTTCGCCATTTCAGCAGCAAGCTCGTAAAAACTACTGAATCCGTGAGCCACTGCAGAGACGTTTGCCTCGAGCTGAAGACTTCGTCGCATTCATCCACTCGATACACCGTCCTTGACCAGCATCAGCAAAGTGGACATGTTAGGTGCAATAATCGGGGGCCGTTGCAAGGTGTCTAGCTGCTAACGTTGCCTTCAGCAGGCGGTCCAGCGCACACCAACGTCTGTCACGACGGACACACGATTAGGATCATTAATAGCGAAAGCGATGCCCTTGCTGGCTCACCTGTCCTCACGCACTCGACCCTTAGCTGTAGGGGGCCTTCGTAGCGCCGTCGCTCCTTATGTCCTTGCTGATCTTGCTAATGGCAAACCTACAGTTTTGCAGGGAATATATCGCCTTAGCCGGGGTACCGCTGGAATCAGTTTAGCTTCATGGTACACTGCATAAACACTTTTACAAGGGTATGGAGTTTAAGCAGTATGTAATCGTATTGGCAAGGTGATTCATTTTCCGAGCGGAAAACAGTACTGTACATGTACTACAGTCGTGCACCTCCAATTCGACAGGGCGGACCATATCAACAGTGCCAGGGCATAAGTGCACAACGTAAAGCAAAAAACAAACGCAAATCCAGTGCGCTGATATTTTATTTGTTAATTCAGTACAAAAATTACGCCAATCTTCAGCATAATCTTGGCGTCAGACGCGCGAATCGCGGGCGCGCAGCAGCGCTTCCGGTCGCAGTAGGCGTCCGGCAAGGCGGCAACTTCCGCGGACCGCTTAAGAATACTCTGGACGGTAGTGCGCTTTACTGCTCGGGGGGTCTTAAAGCGCTCCGTTGCCCAACGAGCAAGTTCGGAGTGAGAGCATGCAGGTCTTCTCGCACAAAGACTACTTTTGTGGGACATGTAGGTGGAAGGGCGATGTCCCATTGTCTTTGGCGGTAAAAATCAAAGTGTGTGTTTTTATGAAGACGTCCGATCCAAAATTTAAAATCAGATCGATGCGGCGTGTCATCCCTCGGCGAGGAGGGGGAAACCGCTGAGGTTAATTGCTAGGGTGGTGATGGGCAAAGGTAATTGCGCATCCGATTCGCGTAATCATAAAATCTGGCAGGGTATCGACTGATACCGGTGTCGAATTGGAGGTGCACGACTGTACATGCTTGTGCCGGTAGTACCTCTAAAATTTACTACTACGTAGTACTTCAGACGATACATGTATTGGAAGTCTCATTTTATTATTATAAAGAAATCATTTTTTAAAGTTGTATCCAATATATAAGTACACACGAGCCATGGCCGCGATTTTTGCCGGCTTGAGATAGCATTTATCAATTCCCCGCCAAACTCGACAATACCGCGTACACCTTCGCCCACTCAGGCCACACCCACGTGGCAAAACGGGCTAGCGAGTAAACAGCGACACCTGATCTGCGGCTGCAATGCCGTATGTCTGACGAAGTAAATTGGAAACTTACTGAATTTTAAGCTGTTAGCAGAGTCTCGTCGACGCTGTTGCCTAGTTCGTCTGTCAAATCTCAAGATGCAGTTTCTAGAATACCTTTAAGTATGAACTGTACTTTAAACTGTTTAAGTACCCACTGACGCTGGAATAATTGCTGCATTCAAGCAGCGTTACCGGCGTCGCCAGATCTAGCACGCTCTTGATCAGCATGAAGCCGACCTAGTGATGGACATGTCGAAAGGGACCAAGTTTTACAAGGTTGACGTTCGCGGTATGGAGCATCGACTGCTGGAATCTTCGAAATTTGTTAAGTGCTGGAGACACACTGGTCTACTCGATTACTATGCTCGTGAATACAGTGAGCCAGAATAGGAAGACCCTGTAGCCGACGAGCTAGTTACTACTACTACCGTCTTTCCCCGCACACTACGCCTAGGCGCTTTAAAAAAATAATGGAATTATAACTTTCGCGATAAAATATTCGTATAGAACACATAGCAAAATACAACGCCTACTACATATAACAGTAACATGTGTAATTATAGCTGTAATAGGAGGTGGTTGGCTGTCAGTGTTTGACCACAACTTCTCTCGTTCCTCTTGTCGGTTGCTCATTCCCAAGTTGCCATGGTGAAAAGCAAGCGCCGAAACTATACTATCAAAGAGAAGCTGGATATCCTGTCCCAACACGCCAAAGGCGTCAAAGGAAAAGGCTTCTTTGCTCTAGGAAAAAAAAAACACCAAATAGCTCCAGGAACAATTCGAGGGTGGTGGGATCTCCGCGACAAACTAAAGCAAGCTCTGAGAGACCGTGATATTACCACGCGTACAACAAGAAGGCTGGGTGGGGTAGGAAGACCTGCCAAGCACGGTGATGTAGAATGTCGTCTACATGAGTGGATTATAGACAGAAATACTAGAGGACTGTGGGTCAAGGACGCTTACATCCGGCTGTAAGCTCTGAACATCTACCGAGAGCTACATGGTCCTCAGACATCGGGCTTTGATGCGTCTACTGGTTGGTTGGCGCGATTTAAACGTCGGAAGAACCTCGTCTCTCGGCGTCAGACGACTACACGAATACTGCCTGATAATGCTGGAGAGATTTGCCGTGATTTCATTCATCGTGTTCACCAACTCATCGATCTGCACAATATCAAGATTGACAACATCGTTAACATGGACCAAGTACCAAGGTACTTTGAAACCGAGCCTAAGACGACCATCACGACTCGTGGATCCCGTGAGGTACTTCTAAAAAAGGGAGGGACAAGTCATAAGCGCTTCACTGCTACGTTTGCCATTACGGCCTCTGGAATCATCCTGAAGCCCCACCTTCTCTTATCAAAACTAAAGAATCGTCCGAAGTGCCCTGATGGTGTTCTGGTAGATGTGAATAGTACTGGCATGTGGAACGAAGATATCCTGCTGCGCTTCTCTAAAGCGGTGGTGTGTTCAAGGAAGGAGACCCAATTCTTTAGGGAGCCGGTGCTCTATTTGATCGATTCTTACGCGTGTCACGTAGATTTGGCAGAGTCTACACTATTGGAGCGCTACAACATCTTTGTCGTGGTGGTACCGCCCAACCTCACCAGTATATTACAGCCACTTGACGTAGCTGTCAATCGTAGTTATCAATCGTTCTACCGGAACAAGTATGATGACTACATTAGCAGAGCGTTGATCGATCCGGCTATGCAAACCGCTGCTGGAAACCTAAAGATCCCCCATTACAAAACTGTCGCGGAATGGACGCTGGACTGGGTAGCAACTCGTCAAGCAGATGACATCAAGAAGGCATTTACACTGTGCGGGATTGTACCAAAGTCAAGCTTTAACCAAGACGAGCTTCATCAGCCCTTAAGAGACCTTCTGGAACCAGATCTTGACATGGAGAAATGGCACGCATCGTATCAATATCTCCTTGATGAAGCGGATGATCGAGAGCAGCTCTGCGTATCCGCTCCTTCCTGGTACCTGCCCGAGAACGAGAGGCCAAGTTTGTTCTACTGTTTACTCTTTGGCACATCAACTGCTATAGACGACTTCGTTTACGAGCTGGTGAACTACATGAAAACCCTGGACGATCTCGACGATCTCATTGATGCGCAGTATCTGGAGGATATTCAAAACGGAGACACAGATCCAGGAGAGTTGGAGATTTATGCCGCTTCAAAACTTCACAACTGGAACGTTGAGGTGACTACAGTAGACAAGGGCTGCAAGGTGGTCTCAACATTTACTTACGAAGTAGAGAACCCGATGAAGACGGTGTATTTAGCTCGTAGCGGATCGTACTTCGCAGTTGAGGTGGATGGGTGCATTGCTTAATCTTTTGTATGGTGAAAAAATATTAAGAAAAAAATATGTTTTGTGCAAATATTTTCTTCATAAAATAATAAAACCTCCGTATTTTTAATGCAGTCCCCAAATGAAAGAAAACAACTGACCCTTACTATACGCACATTTATGTTGTGAACTGCACGAAGGCGGGCTCGAACCTCGGTCAGTAGCATAGGAGGGTCGAACCTACACCACTAAACAAAGTAGACCCTGATTGATTTGTTCAAACATTCATATTATTTTCGTCGCATAACGCCTAGGCGTTCAAAACGAATAATTCTATCGTATGTTAAAGACTACGCTATAGCGCCTAGGCGTAGTGTGCGGGGGAAGATGGTAGTAGTATGTTGTCGCGCTTAAATGCGAGCTAAGCAGGAAGGAGGGTTCAAACAGTATGCCTATTTCGACATTTCTCAAAGTTAAGCATTCATTTTGGAAATATTGTATTCTATATTACGAGGGACAGGTCAGAGGTAATATTATTTTATCTTAGTCATGTACTTCGAGCTATACTACTAGACTTCGGGAACCGATATTTGTATTTATATCGGCGTTTTTTTATAAGCAGAGATTACTACTGACGGGGTCATCTGTATTGACATTTTCAAAGCGGAATTCAGGCTGCTGATGCACAGCTTCAGCTTGTAGGGGTGCGAGAATGTGTATGTACAAACTTGTGGCTCAGTCAGGTGTACCTTAAAATGGTACATCTACAGAAGCCTACCGAACAAGTGCACGCTTACCATCCATTTCGTTCCTTGCGTTTGTGGAGTCTCCCTCATTCTTTGATTTATCGCTAGTCAAAGCTAAGTCAACCCGCATCATTCTCACCAACGCTCAGCGCTTGTAATCTTGTCAGCATCATGTTACCCAAATAATACCAGTAAGGGTCATCCTCTTATGAGCTAGTGGCTTCGTACGACCTGCTAAAGGTCCGATAAGTCGTTTAAGATAAGGTATTTGCTTCCACAATAGAGAACTTTAGTTTCTGGAATAACGCAAGGCTTGGAATAGCGATTATCTGGATAAAATCTGAATAAATGACGGATAGATTACCGATCGGTATTCCAATAATTTATTCCAGTGGAATAACGCGACCCTTCGCTATTCCACTGGAATATATTTCTGGACGAAGAAAATTCTTGTTCCAAAGCCTGAATGAACACATGTAACTACCCAATTGTGTTGAGTGAGAAGTGTTCCAAAATCAGCTCCTTCATCCCACTGTGGGGAAAGACCCGCTACACTCACCTTCCAATGGGAATTTGCACTGCTCCTGACGCGTTCCAGCGTCGCATGCAACCCTTTCATGGCAATATGGCGTTTGTGCGCGTCTTCTGATATGATATGCTTATTTCGACGCCGACAGCGTTTGCCGAGCTGGTGCGCGCTGTTCTGGAACGTTTTCGCAGCAGTAGGCAACAAGTAAATATGGCAAAATGCGGCTTTGCCTCGCACGAGACCGAGTATCGCGACTATCGACTAACGCGCGAAGGCATCCAGCTACTCCCAGATAAGATTTCTGCGATTCACCGGATCGCACCGTCGAAGAACAAGCGCGATCTCCGGAGTTTTATTAACCTCGTCAATGTACTAGCGCGATATGTGACTGCACCGGGCGCATCTGCTTACCCCATTGACAGCACAGACATCGCCTCGGTCGCCGTTTCGCTGAACGGCGGAGTGTCAACGCGCTTTTATCAAGATCAAGAAACTTGTGCGTCTAGATGTTACGCTACACTTCCCGAACTTGTAACTGCTGTTCGACGTGTTCACGGACGTCAGTACCTTTCAGCTGGGGGGAATAATCTGCCAGCAGGGTCACCTGCTAGCTATCTTCGGCCGAAAGTTGACTGACGCCTAGCTGAAATATGCAGTGATGGAGTTAGAACTTTTATCCATCGTTGGAGTTCTCCTTGAGTTCCGCACATTATGCTCGGTCACCGGATCATTGTGCACACGGATCACAAGAATTTCTCCTTCTAGATTTTAGTCGGATCAAGGTGTCTATTGGCGGCTTATCGTGGAAAGTTTGCGCTCGATATGGTATACTTTAAGGGACAGCACTACGTAGTAGCTGACGATCTTAGTCGGTTACCAAGTGTCACGGAACCTGGAAGCGAGGGCAGCTTCGAGCTGTAAGCGGATGAGTTTCCAGTGACGATTGAGAATATTCACGAAGCTCAAAAGCAAGACAGGACCTTCAACAACTACACGTCAAGGTGTACTTGACCAGAAACTGTTTTAGGAAAGACTTGGTACCATGATCGACGCTGCGCCGCCAGGAGGGATCGCAATTTTAATCACTCGGGCTCAACGTGGGCCAGCTCCTCACGCTCGAGTGCGCAAAAGGAATATGTCTGCGACGGCTCACTCGACTCGGAGCTGTTACGGGCTTTCAAGCGACGGCGCTTCGAGACACTGTTTGAAGTCGACGCTAGACGATGAAGTGTCGCTGAACAACGAATCACCGCCCTCCTCTAGGCGCGAATACTCCCTATTAGTTGTACCGATTTATGCGGGAGTCGTCTTTGCTCGACAGTCGCATTGGCGTCTCCGCTACGCTGCGGGGAAACGTGGTCATCACCCGCACCATCATTAATCAGCCCATCACAGTCCACCGTCGCTTTACACTGGGGGTGGCATGCGTCGTGGCCGACTTGTCCATGACTCTGACGTTGGACCAATCCGACGGAGCAACCAACAAGTGCATGGACACTTCGCTGACGCTAAAGTCCAGACCACATTTGACATATCGGAACAACCAGTCGATCTCGGGCTGGCACCGTGTTCGGAATTTGCACATGAGCGCGTACTTCATCTCCATGACCAGAAACTCGTCATTGTTCCGGAATTCATCGAGCGTGTATGGCATCTTGATAGCGCGCCACAGACCGCGGTGCGGCCGCCTGCGTGACAATGATATCGCCGGGTTCATCGCTGACCGCGATTTTAGAAGATGATAACGTCAGGCATGATTCCAGATAGAAGCGGCTCGACGTCCAGAATCTAGGAACGCGCGGAGATGACGTCGTGCGCCTGTGACGTCAAGACTGACGATAATCAGCCTCGAATCGCAGCGGGCTGTGGTGGGCTTGTACCACAAAAGGCTAGGAGTTTGGGCTGACACCGGTTGAAATCGGACCTTCGCTCCATCCAGTAGGGCACCCCGCGCCTACTGGTCTCGATCGCGGTTTTCGGTTGAGCGACAGGGATCACATCGTCTTCATTCAAGACGGCCGTATTAGCGAGGTCCGCCACTGGCGTACGGCATCGGTGACAGATCAGTGACGTGCTACACCGATCGCTGCGGGATGAAGCCACCGGGGCAGTTAGTAGCCTCGAGTGCCTTGAGCTCCATGGGTTCCGGCGCAGACGTTCGAGCATCAGACGGCAGTGCTTAAGCATATCTGGGTACCACCGTATAATCCCCACGCAGCGCGAGGGTGAACGCCTCTTCAAGGGTGTTGGGCTCGGCGCGAGTGAGACAGTACCTTCGCGCATACCGACGACGAAGACATGAGCTTGCGATGCCATGTCGATCGCGCTCGAAATGATGTCGTCGAGGCGATGCAGGGTTTCCCACTCCATCCGCGCCAAATGTGAAAAATTCTCGTGTTCCAGGATCGTACCAGGCATTTGGACTTTCCTGTCGAAGGCTTGGTCGTTGGAGGGGCTACAAAGTGCTACCAGGTGTAACGGGACTAACTATTGTTTCTAGCTTACACACCATTATCCCTCATTCTGTCGATGCCCCTAAAACCATGCAATATGATTAATTTACCAATTTTAAGCGTGTCTGTATTCGCGGATTTTATTTTGAGCGAACCGTTTGATCTGCGGTAAACCAAGCATATTACTGGATTAAACAGCAATAATTGCAATAGGTATTAGTAAAATAAATGCAATATGCTGTACAATGATGCGTAAATCGGAGTTAATCCAAGCTTATATACGTGTTTTATATTTTACCATGGAACTTACCTGTATAATCACAAGTAAATTTTCGCGTTAGCGTGAGGAACCTCGCGTTATTGAACTTAATTCTTTAGAATTGGTAAATTCAACTCTAAATTAGATGAGGTACAATGCGCCTCATCTAATTTAGAGTTGAATTTACCAATTCTAAGCCCTACGTGTGTGTCAAACTTCTATAGGCTGAAAGTCTCTTAATTTAAGGTAATCAGGTAGACTCGCGCTATCCGCGTGTCTTTGTACCTACCTTTGTATCTTAAACTGTGCAGATATACATGTGAATCTTGGATGTTGCCCGCCACAGGTTCGTCTTTGTGGTCGACGCAAGCAACGTCGGCTTCGCCCGCAACCGGCCTAGACTGCAGTGATCTCAGGCCAGGTGCACATCCTCCGCGCGACGCCGCATCAATCATTGCAGCTTCCAGTCTGTCGTGGAAACACTTTTCTCTGTGACTTGAAACGCAAGCTCGTCGCGCATGGTCGTGTCGAAAGTCACTAGCTGAGAGATCACGGTCACGGCTGACGCCGAAGCATCTACAGCATCATGACGATCGTACACACCCAAAGCAAGTCGTACTGAATCCAGCCCGTGAAGCTTGATACGACGCCTAGTCTTTACCAGCACTCCGACGCCCGGTAACCCTAAATTTCTCCTTATGCGAGCTTGTCGAGGTATTCCTGTGAAAGGTTTTCACCGTACAGTAAAATCTCTCACTTCCGGTATTGCCCGCCACTATCATAGGATTGAACATAGTATTTGGAAGTGTTTTACAGTGTCAACCTACCAACGCGGATTAAAGTGTCCTCTACATCGATATCGTCTCCGTAGCTGGGGAGCTGAAAGGTCTTGCACCTTTCGTCTACGCCTCTAAAATATTATTCCTGTGTGCTGGAAGCAGTTCTAGTTCGTAGACTTACCTTGTAACTCTTGTCAAAGCTCCTTGCTCCATTGTATAGCTTGCAACTGGTGTATAGCATACGCCTTCTTATTAATGTTATCACCATTCTTGATCTTGTCATAAACCCGCTGCAGCTATACGCTCTCTTGAAAGACGACATAATGCCAGCGTCCATGGGCTGTAAGAAGGCAGTGGTATTTGGCGGCAAGAACTCTACGCGAAAGTTAGTTATAGTAGTCTGGGCAGGCGACTGCTATAATCTGTACGTTACTTTGGTCCACGCTGCCAACTCTTCCAGTGTCATGTCAGGGCGATAGTTTGCTTTCTTGATGAGACCGCTTTTGTGCTCGATCTTCATTTATCTCCCCATGTCTGTTGTCCAGATCAAATTCGGTTGTGGCGCGCTGGGTGCGAGCTGCAGAATGCGAGCGAACGCGCAGTAAGTTACCGATGACTGGCGTAGAGAGACTCCCGCCAAATGCAATGCGGCATGACCCTTCCTAAAATGATTGTATCGACAATATCAAGACCATGGCCGCTACGGCACAACCGGACGGAAGCCAAGGACACTTTCTTTATGAGCCGACGTCGAGATGGATGTGTCCGCGAAGCTGCGTTTGTGGATGGCTCAATCGTGCGCGCCTACGACGGACCCCATTATGTCACAACTCCGGTGCAGATGCCAATCACAGGCAACGCCATGGTGCTGAGCGCCATTTTAGCAGTACCCAGTACAGCGCGATGCGATGGGCTCAATAGACAGATATGGATGCGCGAAGAGACGTACCACTAAGATGATGTAGTAAATCGTACTCGAGAGCGTTTTGTAGCTAATTAGTACTCGATAAGTCGTACGAATTACAATCGAAAGTGCCAAATCGTCTGTGAAACTCATACTATAAAAATTGTGAAATTAACCCAAAATAAAAATCGCACCTAGGTAAATGCTCGAACGGCTATTTGATAACGATTGGATGCCTGCGATGCAAAAATGTTTTTGAGCATCAATCAGCTAACGTTAATTTGTAGTTGTTGGTCTTAAGTTTGAGTTCGGATGTGCCTTTTTTCCTATCCATGTCTCGTACTTTTGCTTCACACTATCTAGAATTCCGATGCAACGAGTAGATTTTTGTTGTCGGCTCAGTTCGCCCTGTAAAGGGACTTTCGCAGAGAAACTCTGTAGATGGGTGAATACTCGAACATGTCGTCCTACCCGTCCCGCCATCCGCCTAACTTTTTAATTCCATAACTTAGACTCATGCGTTTCCGGGTGAAATGTATTAATGCGCTAGTGCTGCTAAATACTACATAGTATTAATAATGCCAATAACATATCCATATTGGCTGGGACAGCACGTGTTTTCTCATAGATAATGGTTGAATGCATATTATGCGTTGCTTACAAACGTGATCGGAAGGATACATGTCGCCAAAAACACGGACGGTTGTTTTTTATGCCTTCGTCGAGGTAAAATTCACAAGGTTGCGAATCGTGAGTGAAGGCATTTCCTTCATCAATAGGGGCAGCAAGGCCCCCTCTTCTCTTGAGAAGGCGAGGCTGCCTTCACGCTGTCCTCTTAGCTGGAGCTGAAGGCAAAATTGAAAATGACATCAAGGTTATCAGCGGTCGAGGATATCTGTCGTTAGGAAACAGGTTTTAGAAAGCCCGCACGATCTAGTCGACATAATATCATTTTGTAGTACATGTAACTGAAGCTATTAATAGCTCATTTTTTTCACTGTAACCCTATTAGCCCCGCTGCTTTTTTGAGGATGTGTTTTCCACGCTATCCGGTATTACCGAGCTCTTTAACCTCAGTTATTCATCGCATGAAGAATAAAACAACATACCGGTATGGATCTGATCGTATCGTACATGTAATCTTCAATAGCTCATACTCATTGCAGACAGTCCCCTGGGTAATGTTAGCGTCTGGTATTTCTGCAAGATGGCCCTCCCGAATATAAAGCTATTTCTATATCCTGTGTTACCGGTTTTAAGAATCTCAAGATATCCTATATTATATTTACATCGATGTTAAGTGATTGTGCCGTGTTTTTAAAAAATAGCACTCGCTACTGTCGTGTTTTGCCTCTACCAGATCGGCGCTTGTTCTCCTTAAATCCTACAGGAAGGAGTCATGATAAAAAGGAGACACTGGTGCTTCAAGTAAAAGCCTTCAGCCTGTGCCCTGCAGACAAGCATGTTCGATTTGCAAACGAGAGCCTGGCTCATTGTGTGATTGCCAATCGATGGTCAGCTGTTGATCAAAATGCATTGGGAGTTCCCGAGACGAACTTGCTCACTTCCTAATTCGCCCTCCAGCACTTCAGTGCTCAAACCAAGCCTACTTCCCCTCTCACTATGCGTCTCGGTTACCTTCTCGTGGCGATCGCTGGTCTTCTGGCATGCAGTGATGCTGCTGTTGCGGTATCGGAACTCAAAAGCTCAAAGTTGACGGCTCAAGGCAACGTCGTGGTTCGTGACCAAGCTGGAGATTTAACTGCTGACCATAACACCAAGCGCACTCTCCGGGTTCAAAGCGACAAGGAAACAGAAGAGAGTGAAAATGTTGCGTCGGGGAAGGGTCTCGCCGATTCGGATGATGAGGACGAGAGAGGTTTTGATCATTTCGACTTGGGATCGCCCTAAATACAAACGCTGGTTCCGTGCAGGAATAACCCCCTACGAAGTAAAGGTAGTGCTGGACTTGACTGGCGCGAGACGCCTCTGGAAGCCAATTGATCGACGTGTGTATGACGGCTACACCGTGTTCTACTCGGAGAAATGCCACAAGTCGCAGTACGGGGATTTCTGCAAGAAGCACGCTGATGTCTAAGCTCACTATCCGAAGAATACGACGGCGAGGGGGTCAGAATTAAAACACTGTATCCCAGCAGATTTACGAAAAAGCAGTAGACTACTAAAAGCTTATTTTTGTACTTCTGTCTAAAATTCTGAATAACAACAGAACTTGAAGAGATTTAGTTTGTTTGGAAGGAGCACAAAATCGAACATGAGACAAGGAGTAATTGACCACGTTTTATGGATTCCAAAAAAACACTACCAGTCCTCACGCACATTTTTCGGTGGTTAATTAAAAGATTCTCTCTCTATATAGCAATAAACTAGCTGAAGCCTTGTCCCTGTTCGACTTTCTGTCCTGGTTTCAAGCGTCCTTCAACGTTTGGTTCTTAAAAACACTCCCAAACTTGGATTGGGACCCGTGTTTTTCGTCAATGATGGTGCTGCGGGCAGGGTTAATGGTAACTCCAAAATCGGTGAAGTTAATATAGTGATAATTCATAGACAAAATGATATTATTGAGTAGCGCTCCAGTTTCGCGTCTCATTTGTCAGATGTGAAGCTTGATGAGCCTCCTGGAGCAAATCCACTGTTTGCTCTCAATGATATCAATAGCTACTGATTAGGCCACAGGCTAAAAAAGTGAATTTTTCGTCAGTTATGTGCATGTACCTTATATAGCAGTATTGGTTCACGATACAACGCTATCTGGCGCAAACAATACAGTTTTAAATTTAAAACGCCATAATAATTCTAAGCTGCGATATTTTCGCATATAGCTCAATCACTTTTAATATAACTAGGCTGCAGCTGTAATATTCAAGTATACATAACAGCGTGGTATCATTTTCAAAAATATGTATCGGAAGCTAGTGCGACATCGTATTATCTATAATATATCTGGTTTTCGCGAATCCTGGCCATTTAATTTAGCAGAAGGCCACAGGCTAAAAAAGTGAATTTTTCGTCAGTTATGTGCATGTACCTTATATAGCAGTATTGGTTCACGATACAACGCTATCTGGCGCAAACAATACAGTTTTAAATTTAAAACGCCATAATAATTCTAAGCTGCGATATTTTCGCATATAGCTCAATCACTTTTAATATAACTAGGCTGCAGCTGTAATATTCAAGTATACATAACAGCGTGGTATCATTTTCAAAAATATGTATCGGAAGCTAGTGCGACATCGTATTATCTATAATATATCTGGTTTTCGCGAATCCTGGCCATTTAATTTAGCAGAGAGGAAGTTCAGATTCACTTGTCAATTACCAAGATGCCCAGTACAGCCAGCCAAGTGTTCGACCGCCTCAACCGACAGTGGGACGACGAGACCTCCAACCTCGTTGTTAGCCACGAGAACTATGGCGATGTCGCTCGCCGTATAGAGGAAGAAGCCTCCGATTCTGGCTCACCTATTCCCCTTGGCCGATTGATGGCAAGTTGGAAAGTGAGGAAGATGAAGTGTCTAGCTGCTGTATTTGCACTTGTAGAGTACCTGATAGTGTATAGGCAGAACCCAGGTGTCGTTGAAATACACCGACTCTTGGGTAGAAGCCTCCATAATTAAATTTTTGGGCCACAAATGTAGCCAACTGTTTTTCATAGGATCGTACTTATCCCAGAAGTAACGGCCTGAGCCATGAGATGCGAAAATACAAAAAACAGCGAAAAACAAGCATGTGCTTTTCAAGAATCATGTTTTCTGGATAAGGATGGAATTCGCATAAAATTAGATTTATGCGAATTAAGCACACACGCTAGACACACTTTTGCGACTGTATCTATGAGCACATGGGGACTACTAAGACTTACATGCGTCAGGTACACGAGTTCCTCAGTCTCATCAGCGAGACTTCTGATGACAGACTGCTGACTCCTCGTCTGCGCCTGCACCAACTGGGTTCGTCTTCAGCTTCGTATCGCTCCGCCACTAGAAAGAGCTCTCGACAACCTAATGGACAAAAGGCATCGAAGACGACTCCAGCGACGTCCACAGCTTCGGATGCGACGCAAAATGGAGCATGGGGTAGCTACAAATTTGACCCATTGGCTGCACTACAGACCGCGATTGATCATGCACAACGAGCATCGACAAAGGACAATAAAAACGACACACCCCGAGAAGTTGGCAGCCCCAGTAGCAACACTCGTTTCTATCGACTGGAGCTGTCGGGATCAACACAAAGTAACGAGATGCGCTCGAGAAGTTTGGGGTCTCCACCGGAACTGCCTCCAGCGTTTACACTGCAGAGTTCACTGATTGGAGGCGGGATACATCGCTTTTCTCTGCCAAAACGATCGGAAAAGCGTCAAGCACGCAACAAGTTCTTCTTCGAACGATGATAGCGAGGCAAAGGATGCCCTCGCTGCGCTTGGACCTCCATCTGATGCGCCGTCATCGTTCTTGCTGTCAAAGTCACTGTCGAACGGGAGTACCGATACATGTATTTCGATTTTAAGCCTACCAAGGACAAATCCTAGTCTGGACAGACTAGGGTCACTGACGAGACTGATCAGCCAAGCAAATGAGACTGCAAAAGATTTGAACACGACGCTGTCATCTCCACCCAAGATAAATCCTGGTCTGGATAGATTAATGTCATTGTCAAGTGTTGTTAGCGAGGACGGTGAGGCTACAAAGAATACGAAGCAGCGGCTCCAGACACTAGTTCAACCTCGTCGAGCACCACTCACGAGACTAAGGATAGCAACAGTGAAGCGATTGAGCTGGGTCCACCACCTAGCGGTCCTCCTGCGCTTACGATCGGAAACTCATTGATGGGAGGAGGCATCGAGCTGCAACCTGCAGCTACGAATGTGAATACTTACAACTTTGACTGGAAGCTGCACAGAAGTGCATCAAGCAGTGGTGGACACGGGGCTACTAAGGGTGCCAGTCGTGGGTTACGAGCACAGCTGGAACGAACATTGGCAGCGTCTCAGAAGGGAACAAACTAATCGTAGCTCGTAAGAAAGTCCTCATGTCTCGTGCAAACATTTGAAGTACAATAATATTGAAAGCGAATTTCGCCACCAGACCTACAGTTAGTAGTGGCTGTCATAGTGAAATGAATTAACAGCCTTTGATGTTGGCACTCATGTTTTTGTTGAGCAAGTCAGCAAATGGGTGCTTGGAATCAGCCTCAGCTGCATGGGATGGCGAACGTGCAACTTGTGCGGCAACATTCGGCGAAATTCGTTGGCTGCTTGTTGCAGCACGCGCTGATTTTTTCGGTTTCGACAGAAAACACGTAGCCGCAACCCGGTGCATCACATTTGAGCTGTGCACTGGTTGCCGTGACGGGTACCGTAGCAATAACAACGAGGACGAAATCATTCACATTCATCGTCCTGCCTGTTTCGAGGGGCCGCGTTAAAGCCGACGTGTGCTTGAACTGGCAAATAGCAGAATGAAACTAATGTGCTCCGAGCTGGTTCGGATTCATCAAATTTAGTACTGTACCTTTAAGCAGGCTTGTGTTCTTGAAATTTAGAGTACGATAGTCATGAAACTATTCCAAACAATTGAATTCTCAACAGGAAAAAGGAAACCTGATTCGGATATCGAGCTCCAGGTATCAACAAGCTGCTGACAGCAACCCGTGGCTCGTAATCGATCCTCTGTATGAGATCGAGAGATCCTGGAAGTTCCAGAATTGAACCTTCACGTCTCCACGACTGAGCTGCGCTTGGCAGGGGTTAATGGTAACTCCAAGATCGGTGAAGTTAATTAATTGATAATACAGACCAGTTAATATAATAATATCACCTAATATGTTGTTTTTAGACAATATTATATTACAGACGAAGACACTTCAATATGACGGACACAAATGAGTGACACCAGGTTTTTTTGTTATTGATTTCAGCCAATGAAAAGTCAGTAGTAAATAAGTGGCTCTGTTCGGTTCACTTACGTCGCTGCGCGCAATGGAAGAGCTGGAGCTGCGGATGCTTCTGTGGAGCGTTCGCGATTATGATGACACAAGTTCCAGTGATGGGGAAGATGCCGTCGAGGACACTAGTGATACTGGAAGCGGGGACAATAATCAGCTGTATCATGCATCTAGGGGTCGTCGTCGTGCGTATCCAAATGCAGTGAAGTAGTCGACGCCGTGAAAGCTGGCGGCAAAGTAGCTGCAGTGGCCGATGCTCACGGTGTTGACACTCGTACAGCTGTGTAGGCGTGGATTAGGAACGAGGCTAGTCTTAGAGCGGCATGTGCGAACAAAAAGAGCTCTAAAAGCACTTTGGGGGTCAAGGTCGTCGTTGCGTCTTCCCGTACGCCAGTGATGGCCAAAAATACATTGCAGGTATTGGTACTGTTTGCAATACTGAGAAATACTTATTGCAAGCGCTCTGGGGTATTGCAATACATATTGCGGCAACGCTGGGAACTGCAGTACATATTTTCCAGCGATTTCGGCGATCCTTTTAAAGTCGGTTCCCAAAGGTCGCAGTGTTTGCGCGTCAAGTCTTTTTGGCGCGAACTCAGAGGCCCATCGAGTGGCCAGCAGCGTTCGCGCCTTCAAAATGGGCGCGAATTTGACCGCTCCACCACCAGCCAGCTCTCATTCTGCTTTTTGCAGCCTTCCCTGCAGACGCCATGGCCCTCCAGTCCAGCCCGCTTTCTATCGACCGCATTCCCGCAGACGTCCGCTTCTACTACGACATATCGGTCGTCGACGGCGAGGTCTCGTAGACGTCTGCGTCAGCGGAGCGGCTGTTCAGCAGCGCAAAACACGTTCTTCGTTTCACCAGAAAGCGGCTGACACCCGTCAACTTCGAGAAAATCTTGTTCCTCAAGCGTAATCGTTTTCTTTGAAACGCCAGCATGGTAGCTCAGGCGATGAAGGATGCCGGTGGCAGTAGCAGCAAGGCTGGTACGCAGGATTAGTACTGCAATAGTACTGCAAACTCGCCGAGTATTGCAATACTTACTGGAGACAAGGGGGGGGGGGTAGTTGCCGTAGATATTGTTTGCGCTTAATGTTTTTACAATGCCCCGCAATGTATTTTTGGCCATCACTGCCGTACGCAGATGAGCTCATTCAGTGGATCAAAAACATGCGTCGTGAGGACTTTGCACTAAAGACTAACCACTGCGTTGCCTTTGTTAAAGAAGAAACACTGCGTGGGCGTCAAACTACTTGTTGACGCGCCAGGAAGACAGTCTGCGGCGTGCAATCTGTCGTGTTGCGCTTAGCCGAGGCTTTTCGTTTTGGCGATCCAATAAAACTATCACATCGAGCCGACAGCTTCTTGAAGAGCAGCAACGTTTTGCCGCGGAGGTTGGCCGGGTTGTCAGCCAGGTCTACCTGCGTGAATGCATCTACAACGCTGATGAAACTGTAGTCTACTACGAAGAAGACCCCGGCGTTATACTGGCTGAGCGCGGGCAGAGCATTTCCGCTCGAGTGAGAGGACGCCGCCGTTCAGATCGTGCGAGCGTGCTGCTAACAGGTTCGGCGGCTGGAAGAAAGTAAAAACCATTGATCATATTTCGCGGCCAGCCAGGGGGCATAATTGAGCGCGACATGGCTGCATACTCGAATCAAGTCGCTGTAACCGTCCAGCAAAACGGCTGGATGGATTCAAGGGCTTGGATCGAGACGTTTATCATATGGTCAGTGGGCAGAGTTTGTAAGTGACGAATTTCCAGATCCCCTAGTTATCTACGTTGACAACTTGAAGTGCCACGTGACTAAGGACGCGCAGGAAGCATTTGCTTCGTGGGGGACCGAGCTCGTGGCCCTGCCTGAGAATACGACTGCTGTGCTACAGCCTCTGGACGTGGGTGTCATGGGGCCATTCAAGAAGAAGCTACGGTCTCTGACGCTATCCTACGACTTAGCCTCCATCCAGAGTAATGTGACGTTGCCTCTAAGAGAGAGACTGCTAGCGCTCAAGCGCATGTCTGCGGACGAGAAGAGAAAACTGCTTGTAGATCGCGTAGTGACAGCTTGGGCAGCTATTGACGAGCGCTGCATTAAGCGAGCCTGGGAGAAGTCTGGACTGTAAAAAAATTCTTTGCTTGATTGGATAAAAATATTTTGGATTTGCAAGTATAGTTAACGAAAAACCTAATGTGTCATATTAAAGTGTCTTCGTCTGTAATCAATATCAACCTAATATTAGCTAATACGATCAGGGGCTAATGGTAACCAAATATCGTATGATATTTTTGATAGTAATATTACTATTTTTGATATTAAATATAAATAGTAACTCCTTTTTGCAAAAGTTAACATAATATTTTAATATTAACTTGGAAAACTGAAAAATATTAGATTCTACATAATATTTTATGATATTATCCCACTTAAGTACGTTTCTTGCCACCTTACCCTCTGTGAACCGAGCGGAGCCAAATAACTTTTTCGATCAGGTTCAGGAAAGCAGTAGGCTTTAAGACTGACGAGTATTTGCTCTAGTACTGTACTGTGACCAGGGGTTAATGGTAACTCCAAAATCGGTGAAGTTAATATTGTGAAAATATCACCTGTAGACCAGTTAATATAAAAAATATCACCTAATATTTTCCTTTGAGACAATATGATATTATTAAATATCAACTTAATATTAGTTAATACGATATTATATTTTTC